ACGTGCGCCGCGAGGCCTGGGGAGCCCCCGGCCGAGCTACACTACTAAGAGCTCCGTGAACCGGGCAGGGGGCCGAGGTAGGTGGCTGCCCTCTGGCTTTTTACACCTCTGGGAGAGGGCTTAACCCTTTCCGGATCGAGTCAGCGGGCTGCCGCCGGGATTCGGAAAACCCCAGCTGGGCACCAGGAGGTGAGGGAAGCGGCCCCGGCAGCAAGCGGGGTAGTGTCAGCACCTGGAGCCCAGGCGAGGTTTTCCTGGGGGAGAAGGAAGAGAAGAAAGAGGAGGGTGAGCCGGGGAACCTAGGCAGGTCTTCTTAAGAGACTAGCGCAGGGTGCGCCAGGATAGAGGCCTAGGGGGTGCGAGACTCCGCTTCGGGACCCCAGCGCCAGGCCTGGCACAGGGGCTGCCTTGTGTGTGCTGGCTGACCTCTGCATCGCCACGGCCTCTTATGCGGTGAGGTCTCCGAAAGCCCGTGCGGGGCCGCGGGGGCCACTTCCAAGAGGTCACCGAATCGCTGGGGGCGGGGGGGGGGGCGGAGAGCTAGGGACCCGCGGTAATTTGGAGGGAAGGTTTACAGCTTGCCGGCCTCCACCAAGCGGGAGCCGCGAGAATCCTCTGCTTCCCACCGCTCTCCACGCTGCTCGCGGGCGACCCCCCTCGTTTCCAATAAAAATGAACGGTTTTCTCCATTCCAGGCTATGGCCAAGTTCTTGGTTCTTCATACTTCATGTAGGTCACACGGATAATACCAATTGCTCTTAACGTCTCCCTCTTCACAACACGACTGTACCATAAAAGGCTTTCTCCCTTTCTTCTGTTTCAGGGAGGAGGTCAGGGAGCCGCTTCACAGGCCCCTTTAACCTTCGTCTTCATGGACTCTCCTTGTCACACATGCACACTGATGCCTGGTCTTAAAATAAAAATGATCCGCGACACTTCTGCTCCTTTCAGCAGAACTTCTAGCTCTCCTTATGTTTGCCACTTAACTCTAATGAGCCCTCGAGACCAGCCGACACCAAGTTCACCGTCAGCGCATGGCCAGAGTACAAAACCCAAAAATTCAACTCATTTGACCCAGGCCCTCTACCCTCCCACTTTCATCCCCAACTCCCTCCCCACTGCGCAAGCCCTCCGGTCTTCCTGGACACCCCACCTCTCAGGCTGTCCCAAGGTGAATCCCGCATCATCTCCAGGGACTCCTGGCCACAAGGCTGCCTCAGCCTCGCTTGCTCCTGCCTCATCTGCCAAGTGCCTGTTGGCAGTGGGGCCACTGGCAATGACCCACCCACCAACCCCCAGGCTCCTCAGCTCTGCTCAGGGTGGCCTTCCACTGCTGTCATGCTGCCACAAACTTCTGTCACCTTTCTCTATCTATAGAATATTCAGTAAAGAAAAGCATCTTTCCAGCATGAAGTCCTCCCCTTCCAGCACACCTCCCCCTGGTATCTGCTATCTCCCCCACCTCAGGAGATTACCAACGCCCTGTTTTTCCTTTCTCTCCCTCCACCCGGACCTTCTTTTCCAATTTGCTCTGGGACCAGGCTCTGTCCTCGATCCAGCCTCTGGTCCCGTCCTCCCAGGGCTCCTTCCCTGCGGATCAGGGCTGCAGTTCTGGCAGGCAACCTGTGCAGACCCACAGCGCCCTGCACCCGAGCCCCACACTGGTTCTATGCTCTGCTGCTGCAGTCTTAAAATTCTTCATAATTTAACAAGAGGCTCCACATTTTCATTGTGTCCTCGATTCCACAAGTTATATACCTGGTCCTGAGGAGAATAAATACTCATGTTTTCCATCTTAAAAGCCACATCTCTATGAAGCCTGCCTCTCATTCGGCTTGTCTCTTCTTCCCTTCCTGACCAGTTTGTAGAAACAGAGCTGTATTCATTTCTCAGCGTCCTCACCGCGCCTTTGCTCCACACCCCAGCTGGTAGGCCACGTACCTGCTGTTCTGAGAGCATCGATGCCATCCAGGGAACACCTCCTCCCTGCTTCCCACTTTCTGGGCAGCGTCTGTCACTGTGGACCACTCCTTCCCCAAACTTTTCCCTCAGCTCCGTAGTTCCGCCCACTCTGGGTTCACCTTCTCCCTCTTTGACAGCTTCCTCTCTAGTTCCTCTGGGCTCTGTTCTCCTCTTGGAAATAGAGCATCACAGACAGAGTTACTTGTTCAATTATTCTCTGTGTTTCCATTAAATTGAAAGCTCCTCCAGGGTAGGAAATGTGCTGTATTTAACCCTAAGCCCATGCTGTGCCTGGCAGCGTTTCTAGTAAAATCCCTCAGTGAATGCTTAATGGCTGAGTGAACATCAGAGTCATCTGTGAATCCTATATTTTGCATTTGGTGACTATGACCTGTCACTGAATCAGCCTCTGAAAGATTTCTCAACTCTTCCTTCCTGTCTGGCCTTCACTTCCTATGCTAGGCTTCCAGGAGTCTCCCTTCCCCAGCCTTCCATCCTGCATTTGACCTTCCACTGGGGGTCTTCCCTGGAGATCATCCTAAGACGTGCATTTCATGGGTCACACCTCAGGGTAACATCCTGACCTGCCAAGCCCCTTAGCACAACTCACAAGACCCTCTCCGATCAGCCCCAGTCTGCCACTCCACAATCATCCCTGGTCATTCCCCACTCCACATCCTGTTTCAAGCCACCCCAAATGTATGACCCTTTCCTAAACAGGCTGAGATTCGTCATGGTGAGCTTCTCGGACTGGAATGCTCTTCCCTCTGTACTTGGCCAGCTAAACCCACTTATCCTCGACACTCGTTTCCAGGGTCAGCTCCTCTAGAGAGCCGTCTCTAACTGAACCCCGAACAAGGATCGTCTCCTTTCCCTCTGTGTCTCCCTGTACTATTGACGTGTCCCTATTCACACAGCACTTTTCACATTGCATTGCAAACACATGCTTACCTGTATGCCTACCCTACTAAACTATAAGACTTTCCGGACTGGAATTTGCCTTACTCAGGTTAAGTCTTAAAACTTCACATGGCGACCAGCATTTACATTAATATTAATCCTTTAAATTTTTTAATCATATATGTTATTCTATTCTTTTATGGATTTTTGCCCTGACAACTCCCTTGAAACTGCTCTTAGCAATAATTTTCCCCCAATAACCAAAGTTTATTTTTCTCAAACTATTTTTGAAATCATTCCTTTTTAGTAATGTAATACTATCTCTTCCTTTAAAAGGCCAAGAGTAATAAAATGTTATAACAAAAAAAATCAGCCCCCTGCTTTACAACCCCTGCCCCATCCCGCCACACGTCTCAGGGGCACTAGCTTCTCAACAGTGCAAGTCCGCCGCCGCACTTCGATCTGTGAGTTTCCGACAATACACTGACTTTCTGTCGTGTGACACAAGGGCTTTAGCTTCATCACAGACCACTGCCCCTTCTCAATCTTCCCATGGAGTTTTGTCACAATTTCAGTTAAATTCTTGCTCAGTGATTTTTTAAATGATGATATGTTAATATTGTTCACTTTTGTGCCAAGCACCACACATGGTTACATGGCCTTTCTTATACAACTTTTTATTTTTCCTGGCATTAATATTTGCCTCGATTTTTTTTCAATCGCTTATTTTTTTCTTGAACAGCTAGTTGTATCTTCTCATACCCCACCACATCCCCGAAAATGCTTCTTTCCCTACTGTCAAATAATTTCTCGGGGCTCTCCTTTCCCCTCAGACATCCTTCTGTGAGGCCCGCCTCCGGGGGTCCCCCATCTTCCTGCTCCAGCCTGGAATGAGGCTCCTTCAGCTGTATCCTCCTGGAGATTTTCTGGGCATCTAATGTGAGAGCACCTGGTTCCTAGACCACTTGACTTATTCTTTTCTGGTTTATACTCTCAATTTTTGTAGGTATATGCCCTAGTTGCTTCCAGAGAAAAGAGAAGTCTTTGAGAATTTTATGTCTGAAGGGACCTTTATTTCTCATCCTCACACTTCCTTGGTGTGGTCATTTTATTGGTAACAGTGGCCACAGTAGTTTTTCCTACCGCTTTTATTCCCACCACTTTGTAACATGACCTTGCCACTTCTCCCATCAAGAGGGGCCGTCTATGTCCCCACTCCAGGATGGAAACAGCTTTGTGACTTGCTCCGACAAATGGAATATGTTGGAAGTCGCACGGTGTGACTTCTGAAATGAGGCCTCGAGACGCCTGACCGCGTCTGCTCTCACGCCCTGGGAGGCTGCCCCGAGACGGCCGTGGCAAGAAGCCAGACCAGCCTGGGAACAGTGGTGGCGAGAAAATCACTGCTGGAGCCTGGGGGTCTGGCTACCTGCGCTATGTAGCAATGAAACGATGGGCAAAACAGTTACCTGCAGTAATTCAGAAGTAGAAAGTACGTGTGGCAAACTGGTGGGCTTGGCCAAGGAGATGTAGACAGTATGATGAAAATATCAGTCAGGGGTTTCTAGAAGTGTATAATAAGGGACCCTATTAACAAGTAGAATTTAGAGAAATATTGAGGGTTTAAGGCTTACTGGGTTATAAAATAAAATTATCTCCATCTCCAGTCTGCTCCGCTAGCAAAAGATCTTGGTAAAGATCAATTTTTAAACGCTGCTGTCAGACTCTGTGTGAAGGTGTCCGTGGATGCAGCAGACCCTCTCACTGAAGCAAAGGGGCTTCTAAGAATCTGGAGGGTGTTGTTCCATAGCAACCTGACAGGCCCAGGTGAAAGAGAATTATGGATGTCATTTTTGGAACAAGGAGTAAACCCCAGTCAGATTCATAGAAAATCCACAAAGTGTTTAATTTTCTCAAAGACAAAGGTGACTGAGAATATTCAACATGAAAAGAGACCCCTGGGCTCCAACTTGTAATGGACAAGAAGTGGGCTAAGAACACTGTCTGTAAAGTGTAATCACTTAAAACTACAGGGGCCAACAGAAATAATGCCCCTTTGTACTACAAAATCTTTTATTACAAAATCACAAGCATATAATTCTGTAAGATAACAATATCACACTCAAGCACATCATACA